TTCGACCTATAATAAGTCCAAATGTATTTAGATGCCATCCAAAGCATATATTTCCACGTTTCTAGATCATCATCAGTAATTTCTTGTCGAAATTCGGCTAGGTATTTTGAAAAAGAATTTTCTATCACCTGAACATTCTGGAGGAACAGGGCGCATGGTATCCTTTCATATAGAAACTTTTTTCCTGACCCCGTTCATTCTTTGCACTCGTATATATTCCGTTAAAGGCAAAGCGATAAAAGAAATCACCCTCTTTCACGAATATCAGTTTTTGACCGAAAGAGAACTTTCTTTCGAAAGTGGACGAATAGTTTTGCGTTGTAGAAAAACATGTATTTTCCACTATTTTTCTAATAAAATAGGAACAAAGAAAATCTTAAAAAGCTTAAAAGTACGTGCAAATAGACTATTCATAATGCTACACGGTTACATTTGCCCGAGCTCTCTGTCTTGTTTCGCTGTGAAATGGCACACAAAACAAGGTCACATTGTATAGGTGGACGAATAATTTTTAGAGTACTTCGAACTTTCATCCAAAAATATTTTATCGAAATGACTTCATCGAATTAACTGCATCGAAAAGTGAGTTTATCGAAGATTTTTCGTAGTGTGTTCATACTTACATAAGTATGTGAAATGTAGTCGAAAATTTTGAGGGCTGCCAGAATATCATGTATTCGCAAAATCCTACCAGTTTTATACAAGCACACATGGGCTTGCTGCGCTTTGTGTACTGTAGTGTATTATCAGGCTTTCGTCAAAAGTTAATCGTGGAATGTTGCTTCGTGACTTTTTATGCTACCAGCCCCCCAGCTTCAGCCCGATCCTACACTAGAATACACGAAGCCCAGCAAGCTTATGTGTACTTGTATAAGAATGCATAATGTGCTAACAGCCCTCAAAATTTTCGACTACATTTGACATACTCATGTAAGTTCGAACGCACTAAGAAAAATTTTCGCTGCAATTAATTCGATGAAATCATTTTGAAGCAATATATTTTTCGACGAATGAAGTTTCGATGAAAGTTCAGTGAATCAGTTTTTCCAGCCACTATATAACACTAACCATTATGATCGTGTGCAACACTATGGAATTTTATCACATTTTGTTTTCTCACTATAAATACGACATTCAACACTTGTTGTTATATTTTTCAGAGGCCACTTCAACTTTTGCTGAGTCCATCACCACCATCATCTCTTCAACAAAAATCATCCACTAAACCTTTAAGAAGTCCAACGTTGTTGAGTAATAGTGCATTACCAGAAATAACCATCACATCGTTTAATTTATCCACTAATGAATCATCTGTGTGTCAAAATAAAACCGTTTGTCAAAAAAAATTAGTCAACAGTACTGCAAAAACTGACTTAAAAATATCTTCACCACCTCTTATTAGTAGTCGTCATCTATTCACAACATCTTCATTTAATGATTCTTTAATGTTAAGTAAAAAAGAGTTAACAACAGTCGTTGATACTGATCGTCATTCGAGTTCATTAGACAGTGGTTACGATCGATCAGATTCACAAAGTATAGTATCCGGTTTATCAACAGTACCAAATTCGTCGTCAGTACGCTCGTCGGCACGTATAACAAATTCAAGTTCGCTTGCATGTAACAAAAAGAAAGTGTCATTTGGTGATGAACTACTTAATTATCTCTAGTGCGAAAAAGAGAATTTACACGTCTTTTTGGACAAGTAGATAAAAGAATACGTAATAATTAAAGGTTCTTCAAATGAAATTATATCCTGCAAGTTTCAACCAATCCTGAAAATTTCAAAGTTCAACCTGTGATGATTTCTGAACTTAAATACACGTATTATCGTAGTTTATACAGTTACTAATTCTATTTTTCCTAACTTCTGTTTCATTCTAGTAGTTAGTAGTATCAGTAAACCCTCTCAAAAACAGTATTACTATATTGCTTTTCAAATTTGATACATTATCTATTTTTCAATAAAGCTTAAAATTTTACAGAAAACTATAATGATATCAGTATATGATGAATAAATAAGTGATATCCAAGAATTTATTAATATCCAAAAATTCGTAATAATTGAACTAAAAGCGAAAGCTTTAATTAATTTATATTAGATCTAACAAGTAAAAAACATTTATCGACATTGAAAATCAATTCTAATCTGAAAGACGAAAATGCTTCTGTTTCTTTGACAAAGATCATCGATCGAACAATTAATTATAGTTATATCTTATTGATATATTCAATCTTCTACCTGTTATAATTAGACATTTAATAATCAGTTGTGCGCTCATTAATACACCCTCATTTCATCATATTTGACTTTCCGAATCTAACACATAAAACCGATTACTTTCTCTCGTCAATGTGATTGTAGTGACTATATATTGGAATATATTAGTCGTAATTCTGCATAGATATCAATGAAAGTATACTATTGATGTGACTGAAACTATTGTTCGACTGACTATTAATCGAAGTATTTATGATCATCACTCGTATCGGGAAAAAATGAATTATTTATTAAAGATGTAGTTTGAAACAATGATGTTCTAGTTTGAATGCACATAATCGGCAGAAACAGGATTTATGACATTAATTTTCGACTGTAAACTAAATATATTTGAATTATTCAAGAAATAAATATATAATCTTGTTTATTTTAAAAAATTCAGCATTGTTTTTAAATGAGTATTAGAAGTGCAAAAATAATATTTTTCCGACACGCGTGTGAAGTGCATCCTTTTCTGAAAAAATAACACGAAAATATGTCTAAAGACAATTGGATAAAATAAACATATGCATTATTTTTGCATAATGTTTTAACTACAGTTCATTAGTGATAAAAAGAAACGTATAAAAAAACAAAAAAATATCCCAGTAATGCTGACAGTAACACATAAATGCACAGCATATATATAGCACCTCTCTATTTTTAAAATTCAAAAGAAAAGAGTGGACATCAATATGCAAATTTAGAAATACAGATAAAGAGAGAGATCATCACAAATATGAATCTGCCGTCTTATTTAGAGAAAGAAAAAATTACAAGTAACAAGAAAATATACAAGATAGCAGCCAAATTTTCCTTTAGTTTTTAAAGAGAAATAATATGTAAACTACTATCACAGATCAGTATTCCCTTCATCAGTTAAACTTTAAAATTTTTACCAAAACAGTATATAATTAAATGATAATTATCTAATATTAAATAAGATAGTGGAAAGATCAGATCAATGAATATTATTTGTATTCAATGAACATCAGACTTGCTGTTCTAATAATAAGTTTTCTTATAAATATGCTTTCTTCATATTTTATAAGCCAAAGAATAGGCTTCTAATAAAAACACTTACTAATCTAAGCATACACATCACAGTTAAAACTATGGAATGTAAATGTTTGCTAAAATAGTGGTGTTATTTAATTACGAGGAAAAGAAGTAGAAGATACAAATTCGAGTCTACAAAGTATATAAAATTAATATCAGATATTTTATTTGTTGTTAATATACTGTCAGTTTATCCTTTAATATTACATTTAAAATTGGTATTTGAGTGATTAAATCTGGTTTCGAATATAGAAATATTGAAAATATTACCAATAATGATCCTAATGCAAATAATATTGTTAATTGAAAATCAAATAATATCATGGAGATGATACATGAGAGAATAATAGCGGACGATGTAGCAAAACCTTTTAAAATATTGTCAGCATATTTAACAACTAATGCAACAATTAAACCTCCAGCACTTTGCACAGTAATAGCTAACCAAACCATATGAGTGTAACCATATAGAATACCATGTTTTTTTACATCTTGACCATCGGAAATATACATTGTTAAATAACTAAAAAACATTCCAAATACGCCTAATTGAATATTTCGAATCCATACTGAAGTTTCTGAACCTTTTAAAATTTTTTCAAAATATACACCAGCTAAACCACTTAATGTACCTAGAAAAATAGAACATTTATTATCAATGTAAAAAATCAATATCCGTGTACTTGTATATTAATTCTTTTCTTTATTATTGATCATTATCACTTACAACGTCGAATAGAGATCTTTTACAACAACATATCAGAACTGTTCATAACATAAGAAAATAAAATCAACTTACATGCGCTTATAACTGCTAATAATCCAACTAAAGCATTAACATCTTGTTTAGGTGTTGTCGACGTCATATTTTCTATCTGTACTAAAGATATTCCAAGAAATAATAGAAAAAGTGAGATCCATTGAATTACACCAAGTTGACGACGTAACATAAATACCATAAAAATGGCTGTTGTAAAAATTTTCAATTGATAACTCACCTAAAATATAAATAATAAAACAAATTTAATATACATAATCAATTTCAAGTACTAATATTTCATTAATATACTTGAAATGTTGCTGCATCCAAATTTGATATAGCCACAAATAATAAATTATTTTGAAGTGTATACAATAATGATGGTATACCCGTTTTAAGTGTATCATATGGTTGTTTAACAATTTTATGATAAATTAATTTAAATGCATTAATTATATTTCGTTCTTCAGCAATAACGAGTATTACGGATAAAATTGTTTTTTGTATTTCTGAATTTAATACTGCCGTTGAATTAAAAAAACGTGGACCAGATGTTGTACGAACATATCGTAATAATAGAATACTGATAACGTTTTGCAATGTTAACGATACTAAACTAACATGTTTCATAAATTTGCTAGGAACAGTGACAACTAGAAAATAAATAATCATTTAAATAATAGAAATACAAATAGAAAATATTCATTTTTATAATCAATTTGAACTCTTTGTCAGATTAGTGATACACCAAATATTGAATGTCGAATTAGTGTTTATTAATAATGGTGTCGAGCACAAATTTAAGTAGTTCGATGTTTTACTGTCTCATTAACAAAAAATTTGAAAATAGATCGGGTCGCACAATCTCAAATATGTTAAAATGTAACTATTCGATTTTTTTGTTTAATGTCGACCAGTAGTTAATTCAAATAGTGACAAAAAATTAGTAAAAATAGATGATCGTTTTTCTTTCATGTTTCTACTGAACTGAACTTAATGATCATCTCTTAATTATCAAATTTATAAACTAATCACGTAAAACATTGAAAACAATTTTTATTACTCTCTCGTTTTAGAAACGTTGTGTACCATTTTCTATACGTTCAATCAATTTTATTTTAGTCCATGATGTTAATAAAATAACAAGATAATGAGAAAAGTTCAACAAAGAACTTGTCTAGGTCATCTCCAGTATAAAAAAAAAACTAAGAATGTACTAATATTAAAAATACAAAAATAAGATAAAAACAAACCTGGAAGTTGATTTCTTGTTGTAGAATCACGTGTTTCTTGTATTGTACTATCAACATTTTTTGTCATGTCAGGTATTTGCTCTTCCTACACAAAAATAAAAGAGTAAAACAATTAGATGATAATGATAATAAATAAAACATATGACATTATTTATTTTAATTAATTATAATAAGACAATTTAAAAGATTTTTGTTTTCTTTTCATCTTATTCAATAGTATATCAATCGATAGTATATCATCACTTGATATTATTTCTCAGATTTTCTATACAATGTTATTTTCTTCGTAGTTAAATATATTATGAGAGATTTGGCTACCTTATGTGCCATGGTGAGAATAAATCAAATATGCATTCAAAACTAATAATGTATTAAAAGAAATAAAAATATAATGGCACCATTATAGATAGATGTAAGAATAATTCTGCAATAAATCTACAAAAGACTATAAGATTGAATGAGGTTTTATTACTGAAGGTCAAGAAGTTTTATTTCCGATATAAACAAAAAAAATCATATGCACGCAATGATGCATAACAGTTTTAATTATGTGAGCGTAAAAAAAGTATATTAGATAAAGATACTTTGTCGTTCTTTGAAAAAACAACAATATGAACCAGTGCTACTTTCATGATTTATCTAAAATTAGAAAGTGTATTTATTTTCTTTAAGTAGTGAAGTAGTGTTATAGTACCAAAGACAGAATATCTATCATAAAAACACAGCCAACAAGATTACTATCATAAGTTATTACATTTCAATGTATGTATATTTCACATGAAATACGCATTTTTCCTCCCTAACAACTCCACAAATCAACTAAAAGATAATCTTTTTATAACAGCAATTTAAAAATGAATTTAAGAACAGAAAATAAAACAAAAAGAGAGATAGATCAAACATAAATGAGTATAATATAGAGGAATGCTCTAAGAGCTTAGATTTAAGTGAACGATAATGTACCTCTTAACCGCTCTAGTGATTTCTATCTGCAAAGGTGTGTAGCCATCTTTGTGTCATTCTATCCCTCAATCGAGCGTAGGTTGGATAACATGGTGAATGTTACGAGAATATTAAAACCAAACGAAAACGACATCATCCCAATGATACTTAACAGAACGTAAACGTGTCATTTTTATCATTTTTTACTCCTTATACTGAGAATCTACACATTCGAGAAATTATGACTTATGCACGCGAAAAAGTATAGTTTTATTCATTAAACTGCATAATTCAACCATCCTGGATAAATATCGTACTAGTCCACCAAATAAAATATAGAATATTTTTTTAAAATCATGTAACTCTTGGAGTGGACTGACAAAAAAACAATTGAATAACTCAAACAGGTAAATGAGAGTGAAAGAAGTTAGTTTTGAAACAAGAAAAATCCGATGGTTAAATTCAGAGAGAAATTAAGTAAGAAGATCGACAAATACAGTACGGAGTGTCTAAAAAACTAAAACAAGTAAATGATTATTATAATGTACGCCATAGTATAAGATACATCCGTTCACTAAGTTGTGTCTCTCAATAATCTATGATGATCATTTGCTAGATGACAAAACAGACATCTTGCATTCAAATTCTATATTATTTACTTCAAATAGCAATACAAAAGTCCTATGAGACTAACAATACTCATATTGCATGCAAATTTTTTCTAGATATAAAAATATTAATTTATGCTTTTTATATTATTGCCGCCACAGATGTGCACATAATAAAATTTTTAATCTTTGTTCTTTCCTTTATTTAATTTCCGAATATGAGAAAGCTACTTTGAGACGTTTAAATTGACAGCTACCAGATCGGTTTAAAGATGAAAGATCGTCGCCAGAACATTCTGTATCAAAACGTTTTATAAACTACTATCATTTGGAAAAATGTTTAAGATACTTTAAGAACTAAAAGCAGTTATATTCAAGGACACGACTATAAAAAACTGAGATTGTTGCTAAGATTTTGGTGACATGCCACATAAATTGCCGATACTAATTCTGATTTGCAAGATCATTCGAACACATCCTCTCTAGAAAATACCATCAAATTTTCTTATAAACTCATCTGGAGCGTTTTTAAGGAAAAATTGTTTACTTCTACCCATGTCGACGAAATCACGGCATTTTTAACAATTAATCGCAATTCTTGAAAATTCGCAAATTAATTGCGATTAATTGGTGATTTTAAGCGATTAAATGGTTAATGTTCAATAACATTCTTACTATTCAAGGACAACAATAAACCATGCAATACTTTATGTAATCTAAAACAAAAATCCGTACGTACAGCAAAATTAGCGATAAGCAAACATTATTCAACTATAGGTCACGTTATCACAAATAATCACTTTGAGATAGTACTATGGGAGAAACATCGTTATAAACTGTTAGTAAAAGAATTGGTAGTCATTAGATCGACCTCTCCGTTTCTTAATGGTACAGATTGTTCCGTACCATTATATGTGTATTCCAACGGTATTCGATCAGGTCTATGGGACAGAAAAAAACATTGTGCGTAAAGGCTCAGGTCTATATTCTGTAAACAACGAGAAATAAAATCATACAATGCTATACGGTCAAAATTCGAGAAAAAAATTGATAAAGAAATAGAGTGAAAAGTGATGAACAATGGAATAGAGAGAATGGGAGAAATCAAAATCAAAACGAAAAAGATCGATTTCTCTATTTCGATATTTATACTTATATATATAAATATACTCTGTTTAGTCTTGTTTTTGCGTCACTATAACACACTGTATTTATTCACTTGATAATGATCATATAAATAGGTCGAAAATTCGTGTTTTAATAATTTTTATATTTATTTAAATAAACTCTTAGCTATGTTAAACAAAGTTAAGGCTATTTCAGCCGCAATTGCACTAAAATTCGTATGGTTAATGTTATTCACCGCTTGCAGTAAAGTATGTATATAAGAAACACGATTTCAACGAGAAATATACTTCTATTTAGATCATCTTTTTATTTTAGAGTAAAACGTAGTTGTCAGGAGTTTTCTATATGGTCCCTTAGAGCTTTAAGGAGAGGAGCTCAGTGAACAGCTGGTATCTGGATAATATCTAAAATCGACTCGTTGAAAAGGCTCCGATTTCAGTTGGTACTAACACCGTTGCTAGGTGATGTACACGTCACTATACATAATAAACAATGAAAAAACAGAAAAAAAATATGTATTCTCCAAGATGGGTTCGAACCGGGTATCTAGAAAAAAATCGACAATGATTAAGCGTATGATTTTTCAGGATTAATTGCCGATTTTTAGTACATGGGTACTTTCTACTTCATTTTAAAAAGTGTGCAACTTAAAACTGTACGATGAGATAAGTAGAAGAATGTTTTAGTGACGAAACTTTCAATATAGCGATGACTGAATATGCAGAGTTCACCAGAATTTAGTAACTAGAAGGTTAATTTTAATAATAAATTGAATAGATAGCGCCACTTTAGATGTCAATCAATTAGTCCTTTTACAGAAACATGCACATGTGATGACACAGACAAAGCATTTTGCTTGTAACATGGATGTGTACCACAATACACGCAAAAAAATCTATCACAAAAAGAATAAGACCTTACATCATACACGTTTGAATGTTTTGAATACATACTTCACAATACAATGTGAATCTTTACAGCTTTATGTAACAATGCAGCAAAAAAATTACTATAAGAGAACGTCATGCAAATTAACAGAATCAGATAAACACGAAAAAAGTGTTGCCAGATAGATAATCGACCATGAAGAATCTGTTAGGATCGGTTTCTGAGTCCTGAAAGTTGTTATTTTTATGAGACGATATAATATTGCAGTATCGGATGTCTGAAGGTCGTCAGTGGGTTTCCAGCGAACTTTTTAGAGATTCTACCAATAATGCTGTTGAAAATTTTACGAAGTTGGGAAACTTCTCACGAGGGAACCTTTGGACATGTCCAGCTCCGGTTCCAGTGATTTATATGTCGACTGATAGAGTATAGCGAGCTGGCAAAAATCCTAAAGGGACTTCTTCCTATCATGCTTCTTTCAAAAGTTATTTAATTTTTTAATTTTTCGCTCTTTCGCGGTTGAAACATATCACCGCAACAGAAAAAATAAAGTTAATTTTAGTTGCTGAAAAGTGCTTTTTTGTATCTAGCACACTCGATAACCGAGAAGATTTTCTAGTTTTCGCGAGGAGTACTTCCAAAAGTTTAGGAAAAATTTTCAAACAAAATGGCGCTTTTTTGTTCCAGTGATATGTTTCCAATTAGTGTTTCTAATAAGAGAGTGTACCCGTTAAAACACAGTGCGTAGTACTCTATGAAGCTTGTATGTACACTTTATTTTTAGCTGGGAAAATGTGAAAAATTCAATGGTTAACAGTGAATGTACACTGCTCAAAATTCTCGTTAGAAAGACTATAAACCGATCAGAGGAACCCCGGTTGTTCTTTACCTATTTACTAGTATGTATGAATAAGCAGTGCACCGTGCCTAAAGTCAAGGAGTCCCGTGAATCCCAGATGAGCGTTACCTTGTATTATATCGAACTGTAATAAGTTACGCTGCGAAAAGTAAACTATCATGGTCGCCATGAACTCGTTGGAAAGTTGATAGATATAGTATAGATCCGCACCATTGCATAAGCTGTGACGTATCGTGAAAATCAGTAGATGCCGCTCTTTCATGGTACTCAAAACTTTTGAGAAAAAATTCTCATAAAAGAAATTCGATATCAGTCGGTTTATTTTTTATTGTCAGTTATTCGCCGTCTGGAGTTATTAAGTTTTCGATCAAGGTAAACATTTGGTAATTTTCTTCCGACGACTCTGTTGAATATGTACTTCACCATTGGATAGAGAACATCGGAGGACGTAAGCGTATGCAAAAACGAGACAAAAATTCAGGTAAGGTTTACCATGGTAAGCCTTTCGATACAAAGTCTACGAGACCGCCGTTCCTGGATCATACGATGGATTTTGATTTTCAAACAGTGCAATCGATAGTCCGAACAGAGATCTACAATTCTGGACCAGTCTTAACTCTCTCTATCTCTTACGATTCATGAGCTGTGAAAGCTTTAATTTTAAAGTCTTGATATAGTGACTTCAGGTCGGTTTGACACTAAAACTAACCATCACCACTCGACTCAACGTAGCCGATTATCCCTATCTTGACTCATTTTAGGATGAAGGATCTTGATCCATTTGAGCAATATAAATAAACTACGAAGTAAAAAGAAAGAAATAAAAGAATTATTAAATTTTAGGATCACCCATGGTCAACTGGCGGAAATCGGGGATCTCGGGAAAATGCTTATAGCTCCTGAATCGTAAGAGATAGAGAGAGTTAAAACTGGTCCAGAATTGTAGATCTCTGTTCGGGCTATCGATTGCACTGTTTGAAAATCAAAATTCATCGTATGATCCAGGAACGGTGGTCTCGTAGACTTTGTATCGAAAGGCTTACCATGGTAAATCTTACCTGAATTTTTGTCTCGTTTTTGCATACGCTTACGTCTCCCGATCTTCTCTATCCAGTGGTGAAGTACATATCCAATAGAGTTGTCACGTTGTTTTTCGGATTGAGCGTTAAAAACTGACTTTCGGCTACCACATCCAGAGATATTTGAT